CAGGTGCTAGAAACAAAGATCCATGGACGAGGGGAGTGTGGAGCCTGGCCCTGAGCGTGTGTTCAGTAAATGACAGCTATGGTTATTGGCACTGTGGCCGTGTTGCCATTGTGGCCATGTCTGAGTGTGGTTATCTGGAGCCTGGACAGGGGAGGGGTGCCTTGTGAGAAGCGAGCTGTCAGTTGAGCGAGGCCGAGGGAGGATCTGTCCGATGAAGGGGAAGGAGGGGGCTAGTGTTTTAGGTGGGGGCCGAGCCGGAGCACAGGCAGGTGACCGGGAGCAGCCACAGGGAATCTGACGTTGCTGGGAGCTTCCGGGGGCGGGGGGCATCAGGCCGGATGGAGGCCTTTGTGGGGCCGGAGGGATGTGCAGTTGTGAGGTCAAGAGAGCTGTCTCTCTGGCTTCACTTAATATGGACATGCTGTGCATCCAAAACTGTGAGATCAGCAATAATTAAATTGATTAAAACATCATGTTAACAGTAGCCAGTCTGAAAGCAGCAAAGGCCTAGAGATGGTGGGAGAGGGGCATTCCAGCCACAGAGGATGGGGCTTGTGGGGAGCACAATTCCTTCTAAACTCTGTTCTCCCTGCCCCTCTTGGGGGCTGGGACTCCTCTTGGAGCCTGCATCTGTCTCCATTTGCAGTGGAACACGTGGGTAACCCTCCTCTCTACCCCCTCCCCCAAACATGAAAGAAAGCATATTAATGCAAAAATCACCTAGACTCGCTCTGCCATCACCCAGGGACAACCTCTGCTAACATTTCAGGTAGAACCCTCTAGACCTTTTTCCCCATGCATATTTATACATGCATTACAGAAATGGCATCACATCATGCATACTGTTTCGTTACCTATTTCTTCCGCCCGACGATATATTGTGAACATCAGCACACACAGATACACATCATTGTTTCCGGCTGTGGCACCGAGTTCCCTTGTGGACATGCCTGTGCCTCATTCCCCGTACTAATCCTCTCTCGCTGGACAGTTAGGTTTCCAATTGTTTGCCATCAGAGGCAGCGCTGTGCTGAATATTCCCGAATGCACAGCTCCACACACTTGAAGGATGCATTTCTAGAAATGGAATCGTTGAGTCCAAGGCGTTGCATACTACAAAAGCTTTCTGTGCAGGAATCGAGAGCTCTCGCATCAGCCAGGGGGGAGCGGGACAGTTTCCACTCACCTGGCAAACTCTGGAGCATCATTTGTCTCCGTGCTAATCGGTTAGGTGAAGCCATATCTTGTCTGGATTTTTATTTCTTTTTGGTTATAAGTAAGGCTGAACTTATGGTCACAAATCTTTTGGTTGGTTGTGTTTCTGAATGAGTAGGATCTTTAACCCATTTTATTCAGGTGACTGCCTTTTTTTTTTTTTCCCCCATGTAAGACCTCTTTATCTGTTACGGATTTTGAAATTTTACTTGTGCTATTAATTTCTAATCAATTTTGCTATGTCACAGACAGGATGCGTGTTTCTCCTGATTTGTTATTTGCCTTTTAGTTTTGTTTAGGCTGCATTCTGTTACACCGACAGGCATTTTATATCACCTTTTGTGAGTTGTTCTTTGGCATGGTGTTTATAGGGCAGAGAGTGGGCTCCTGCTAGCAAAGTGTTGTGTGAGACCCAGCCCTTGACTCCAGACCCCTGTACCCAAGTGCCGACCCGACAATACTGGGAAGCAGGATTCACAGTTTGCACCTGCCGTGTCCCCCAAAACGTGGATTTCTGTTCCCTCCCTCCCAGGCCTGCTTCCTCTCCAGTGCTCCCAAATCCATTTCCATTCCGTTGCTCAGGTCCAAAACTAGGTGCTATTCACTTCTGCCTTCTTCCTCATATGTTGTGGCTGACCGACCTATCAGCAATCACGTGGATTCCACCTTCAAGCTGGGTCCCAACCCTGGTTGCTTCTCACTGCCTCCTGGCATCTGGGTGAAGGCGTGGTGGCCACCAGCCTGGGCCCCCCGCTCTGCAATCTTTTGTCTGTGCAGAGCCAAAGTGAGCTTTTCTGTCTCTGTTTTCAATAATTTTGTTTCAAAGGCAGAGGGGAGAGGAATGGGGGATGGGGGAGAGAGAGACAGATACAGGTTTCTTTCTTCCTTCCTCCCTCCCTTCCTCACTCCCTCCCTCCTCCCCCCTTCCTTCCTTTCAGATGAAAGGCAGAGTTACAGAGAAGCAGAGGCAGAGAGACAGAGAGAGAGAGAGGTCTTCCACCCGCTGGTTCACTCCCCAGATGGCTGCAACAGCCAGAGCTGAGCCGATCTGCAGCCAGGAGCTTCTTCCGGGTCTCCCATGTGGGTGTAGGAGATAAAGGACTTGGGCCATTTTCCACTGCTTTCCCAAGCTGTAGCAGAAGCTGGATCAGAAGTGGAGCAGCCTGGACTTGACCCAGCACCCATATGGGATGCCGGCGCTTCAGGCGGTGGCTTTACCCACTAGGCTACCGTGCTGGCCCCTGCTGGCTCACTTTTCAAATGCCTGCAACAGCTGGGGCTGAGCCAGGCCAAAGCCACAAGCCAGGAACTCGGTCTGGGCCTCCCTGTGAGTGGCAGGCATCAAAGTACTCAAGCTACCCCCCAGGGTGAGCATTACAGGAAGTTTGGATTGGAAGTAAAGCCAGGACTTGCACACAGGCACTCCTGATATGGGATGTAGGCAACCTGAGTTGTGTCTTAACTGCTGCACAAAATACCCCCACTCCCCAAAGTGAGCTTTTAAAAACAAGTCCTGTGTCACTCCTGGCTCAAGACCCCCTGGGCTTTCCCATCACATTGAGGATGAAATTGAAACTCTGCAAAGACCATGAGGCCCTGCCGGTGCCAGTCCTCTTTCCTCCTCCACGCACTCCCTCACCACAGTCAGCCACCCTGGTTTTCTTGCTGTTCCACACCCAACCCTGTTCCTGCCTCAGTGTCCTTGCTCTCCTCCGACCTGGAAAACCTTTCCCCAGAATTTCATGTGACGTACTTCGTTTCTGCTCAAATATCAGCAAGCACTTTCCTCAAGACGTGTTCTATGACAGTCTCCCTTCTTCCTCCCCTCCTTTATTTTTCTCCAGAGCACTTACTCCTGTCTGACGTTGTTGCGTGTATTTCTGTTGGTTGTCTAGATCTCTTCTCCCCTGGGAGAGACAGTCTATGAAGTTAGGGACTTTGGTCCTTAGAGGCAAGGCTTCATAAGTATTGGTTGGGTGCATATATGTGATATACAACTGTGTGTCAGTGTGGCGTTTGCGTGTGGATGTATCTGCTGCAGGTATAGATGTGTGTGAGAACATCTGTGCAGCACTGAGGGAGCCCCAGTGTGGGGTTTGCATGCAAAGAGGATGGCTTCTGTGAACACCTTGCCAGGAACGTCTGTGTCGGTGTGTTTGTGCGTGGACCGTGCGTGCTAGTCTGCACCTGTGCACCTGTGTGCATGCTGTGGCTGTTTGGGTCTGCTTCAGTGGGGATGGGCAGCCGAGACCCCGGCCATTCTCCTCTTAGAAGATGGACCTGCCACGGCCCCCAGCTTTCCCTTTACCTCCCATTCCCAGGAAAAAGAATATACCTTTATATTTTTGAAAGACCGCAGGCATAGGGTCATATTCCAAAAATGACACTTCAGGTTGATGGAGGGGGGATGCTCAGATGAGGACTGTGGGGGTCTGGGGGGTCTTGGGGCTGATGGGACGTTAGTAGCCACATGCTGTTCCGGGCCATCTCAGTAGGAGGCACGTGCTACCTGATGAATGGATGATTTCCTTGGAACAAGTGGCATGGAAGAGTGAGGCCATGAGGGGTGGAGCAGGACCTGTTATGACTGTGTGGCCTTAACACGTCACTGATCTTTCTCGAAGCCTCAGTGGACTCCTCTGCAAATGGGGTTTGTTGTTCTTGGCTGGTTGTTCCTTGGGAGGATGTGGTGAGGACACAGGGGGTTCTTGGCAGGGGGGTTGGCAGTTACAATGATGCTCTCCCCTCTGCGGGATGCTAAGGTTTTAGTCCAGCCTCTCATCAGAGCAAATGTCTTCATTAGGAATCCAGCTCCCCGCTTGGCCCTAGGTGGCCCTCCGTGGGCGTTGGCTGAATAAACAACACGGGTGTGAGTGAATCGGTGAGGGTGCAGTGAGGCAGTGCCTGGAGTTACACGAAGAACGGCTGCAGACAGCAGAAAATGCACTGAGAAGTCATCAGGCCTCTTGTAGACACTGCAGCGATTCCAGGAGATCGGTGCTGTTAGCAACCCCAATTTGCAGATGGAGAAACTGAGGGTCAGAGAAGTTGTGGGCATACTTTAAAAAGTTTGTGGCAGGGCCAGCACTGTAGCTCACTTGGATAATGCTCCCATATGGGCACCGGGTTCTAGTCCCAGTTGCTCCTCTTCCAGGCCAGCTCTCTGCTGTGGCCCGGGAGTGCAGTGGAGGATGGCCCAAGTCCTTGGGCCCTGCACCCCATGGGAGACCAGGAGAAGCACCTGGCTCCTGGCTTCAAATCAGTGCAGCGCCGGCCATAGCAGCCATTTGTGGGTTGAACCAACAGAAGGGAGACCTTTCTTTCTGTCTCTCTCTCACACTGTCTATAACTCTACCTGTCAAATAAATTTTAAAAAAAAGTTTGTGGCAAATGGGATGAAAAGATACATTTTTTAGTGAAAAAAAAATGAAACCCATGAAGGTTTTTTTTTTTTTTCCATAATACACATTTCCCACAAACTTTTGGAAGTACCTCCGGGAGCTGGTCAATGCCACAAGGCTCCCAAGGGGTGGAACTGAGATTCTGACCCAGGCAGTCCGGCTCACCTGCCTGGGGTGTTAAACCCTGCGCTGGTGCTGCTGAGTGCAGCGACTGGGGATGGGTGAACCGGGGAATACCCGGGGCCAAGACAGCCGCTTTCTGATGGGGAGGCTGAAGCCCCTGGAGGTGAGGTGGGCCTCCAGGGCCTGGAGCGGGTTGGGTCCCCCCTGGGGAGAGTCCGAGGACCCCACCTCACAGCCCCTCCTCCGCTTCCTTGTCTGCAGTGGGGGCCGCCATGCAGCACTACGGGGTGAACGGCTACTCACTGCACGCCATGAACTCGCTCAGCGCCATGTACAACCTGCACCAGCAGGCCGCCCAGCAGGCCCAGCACGCCCCCGACTACCGGCCGTCCGTGCACGCGCTTACACTGGCCGAGCGGCTGGCTGGTAAGGGCGGTGGGGTGGGGCCAGAGGGGCTGGGGGAGGAGGGGACGGCTGAGAACCCAAGCCAGAGTTGATTCAGACCCCAAGCAGGCGAGCCCTCCGGGGCCGGCCGGCACTGTGCCCCGGGTGGGTATTCATTTGCCCCGTGCCACAGATGCAGACATTGAGGGGGGAGGGTACGGGACGGGTCCAGAGTGTTTCAGGCATGGGGAGGCACAAATAACAAAGGGCAGACACTGCGTGAGGCGCCCTCTTCCTGGGAACCAGCTGCCCGGTCCCCAGAATAGCAGATTATTTGTCTCTATTTCATGAACAAGGAAACCGAGGCACCAAGAGGTTAAATCTGGACGGGAGTGGGGTTGGAACGTGACGGTTTAGCTGAACCCGGGAGCTCTGGAGAACACATGGCCGTCGGCACAGGGTCTGCCCACTCACTTCTCTGCTCCGAGCCCGAGTTTACCTTCTACAAAAGGGGCAAGAACAGCCCTCCTCCTAGGGGACGGCGGGGAGGCTTTGGAGACAATATCTGCAAAGCGTGTAGCAGAGTCTGCTGCCTTCTCAGAAGCCGCTATTACCGAAGGCCCAAGGGAAGCAGCGAGGACCCGTGCGGGGCTGCCCCTGGTCCCCACACTCCTGCTGCCACTGACTGGTGCTGCCCAGGCCTGACTGCCCCTCAGGGGCTGTGCGCAGGAGCTTGACTTCCTGGGAGGTGATGCCACCCACTTTGTCCTGGCCCAGGCCGAGCCTTGAGCAGCTGGTCGACCCATGTGGGCCCAGCTCTGTGGCAGTCAGGCAGTCCTCGAGGACTTTGGGGATACCAAGTGCCCACGAGAAGACATGGCCAGTGTGCGCCACGGTGGGCAAGCTCAGACAGCAGGATCTGTTGGTGTAGGGAGGGCTTCCCGCAGGCCTGACAAAGCCACAACGTGGAGGGCAACAGCATGAATGGAAGTGGGGCAGAATCTGACGGCTCTGCCTTGGTAGGGTGCCCCCCTGGCAGGGAGGGTGTGGCCAGTCCCACTCCTCTGCACCCTGCCAAGCCTCTGGGCCAGACTCACTGGGTGCAACGGAGGCCTGGTCCCCTAGATCAGTGTGGGGCTGAGGAGATGGGGTGTTCAGCTCACTGCCCAACCCCCAACTCCAGGAGGGGCTGAGCTCCAGGGGGGCCTTTGCATGGGAGCCTGGCCTCCCAGTGGGAGGTGCAGCCCAGGAGTAAGGAGCCCGGCCTCCCCTGCTGGGGCCGGCAGGAGGATGGAGCTGTTGCCCCCTCAACCAGTCCCCACCTTCTCCCCGGCTCCGGGGTGACCAGTGTGAGCTGAGGGCTTGGTCTGGGCTGCAGTTAGGGGCGGTGTGCGAGGGGTTCATGGCTGCCTCTTTCAGAGGAAGACTTCCGGGAGCCCTGCTGCCTTCTTTCTATGTAGAGTGCCTCCCCAGCCCCAGGACTCGGGAGCTCTGCAGAGGCTGAGACAACCCAGGTTCCCTTCAGCACAGACAGGGAGGGTTCACGTATGTGGGATGGGAGGTTCCTGTCAGACAGAAGGGCAGGAGGCTGGACGCGGCCCTGGCTGTCACTGTCCTGCGTGGCTTTCCTGTTCAGATACCTGAGCAGGCCCACAGAACCCACGGCCCACCAGCCCAGGCTCCCTTCCAAGCCTGCAGTATTGGAACCCGGTCTCTCTGTCCTTCTGTCCGTGGGGTGGCAGCAAGAGGGGTCCAGGTGGGCGTAACAAGCCTGTCCAGAGCCCCAGGGGGCCTGTCTGAGCCAGGCTTTCTGTTCAGGGGACAAAGAGGAGGGGTCTCAGGTTCTGCTGTCAGGGACTCGATTAGACAGTTACATCAGGGGACAAAAAATCAAGGGCTGGTGAATTCTGCCCAAACCTCCCCTAAATGACCTTGAGATGCTGAGGACAAGCCCTCTGGCTGGTTCTCATGGCCAGGGCCGGTGTCCTAAGGCTAAGGAAGCCTTAGTAGCCAGAATCTAAGGGCCACAGGACAGCAGGCCACTGTGACATGATTATGATCTGACTTAGGGATCATCAGTGTCACCCATGCTCAGAATCTCACACTCAGTTTCTGAGATGTTAAGGATCTTAGGGCAGCACCCACCTCCCATCCCCAGAGCCAAGTAAGGACACCGCCCATCAATGACACGCCGAAAGCCATTCTGGAGCTGAGTTAGATCTCTTGAGGGCTGGCAGTGGATAGTGGGGTGGAGAGACCTCCAAAGTCCTGCCACAGGGAGAGAGGATGCATGATCTCCAAGGGCAGAAGGCCAAGGCCGGCTCAGCAGCAGCCCAGGTGTCCGTGGCAGGTCAAAGCAGGATGAGATTTGCAACCTATTTCCCATAATTAAATGGGCCCCCTCTCCTTACCCTCCAACGGCTGTACATTTCAAGACATCATCTTGGAGGCCCGCTATGGTTCCCAGCACCGCAAACAACGCCGCAGCCGCACGGCGTTCACGGCCCAGCAGCTCGAGGCCCTGGAAAAGACCTTCCAGAAGACTCACTACCCGGACGTGGTGATGCGTGAGAGGCTGGCTATGTGCACCAACCTGCCCGAGGCCCGGGTACAGGTAGGGCTCGGCTCCCCGGTCAGCCTGGCTCCCCGTGGCCCGGAAACAGGCATTTCCTCCCTCAGGGCCAAGGTGCACTGGTCTCCCCATCACTGCCGTCAGGGGTAGGAGGGGTGTTTTGGGAGGGATGGAGGGGGTGCATTCCCTGGGGGGAGGGGCAGTGGGATCAATAGTCCTCTCCCAGAGCACCCAGGCCCACAACACCTGCTCTGCCCCAGCTCCGACCGCTCTGCTCCTCGTCCCCAGGTGTGGTTCAAGAACCGCAGGGCCAAGTTCCGGAAGAAGCAGCGGAGCCTGCAGAAAGAGCAGCTCCAGAAGCAGAAGGACGCTGAGGGCTCCCACGGGGAAGGCAAGACAGAGGCCCCGACCCCAGACCCGCAGCTGGAGGCCGAGCAGCCCCCTGGTCTGCCTGGCGGCGAGCCCCCTGCAGAGCTGCACCTGAGCCTGTCCGAGCAGTCGGCCAGTGAGTCAGCCCCAGAGGACCAGCTGGACCGGGAGGAGGAACCCCGCGCAGCGGCCGAGGATCCCAAAACTGAGAAGAGCCCTGGGGCTGACAGCAAGGGCCTGGGATGCAAGAGGGGCAGCCCCAAGGCAGGTGAGGCTGGGGAGGCGCGCAGAGGCGCTGGACGCTACGGCAGGGGGACCGGCCGGCTCCAGCCGGACAAGGGCCTGGGCACACGACATGGGTCAGGGCAGGGGGTTCGTCAACAACTGGCACTCAGGGGCATGGCCAGCTAGACAGCACTGGAGGGGGCAGACCTGTGCCAGGTGTTTCCTGGAGAGGTAGGTGCCCCAGGGTGCGGGGGGTGGGATTGGCTGGTGGGATGCGGGCGCTTGGGGAAACTTCATTTGGAAGTATCCCAGTATTTTAACAAGCATTGCAAAGCCGTGCACACTGGGGGCATGCCCTACCGGCACGAGGCATTCCCCTGTGCGGCCTCCCAGCCCCAGCCAGAGGATGTCCCACACCGTGAGCTAAGAGCTGGAGGGGCAGGAGCTGAGGACAGGAGAGGGGACAGAGAGGTGACAGCTCTTGAGAAGTAAAAGGGGCTCCCCAAGGACTCAGACATGGGATTCTGGCTGAGGCTTCTGGGACTCCCTGGCTGAGTCGGGACGGAGAGGAATGCAGCCACACCACAGGGGCCCTGCCGGCACATCAGTCCCCTTGTCCTGAGCCCTTGGTGTCTGCTTCTCCACTCGCAGATTCCCCAGGCGGCCTGGCCATCGCTCCTGCAGCCCCGGGGGGCGGCCTCCTGGGCCCCTCGCACTCCTACTCCTCGTCCCCGCTGAGCCTCTTCCGCCTGCAGGAGCAGTTCCGCCAGCACATGGCCGCCACCAACAACCTGGTGCACTACTCGTCCTTCGAGGTGGGGGGCCCCGCCCCCGCGGCAGCCGCCGCCGCCGCCGCCGTGCCCTACCTGGGCGTCAACATGGCCCCGCTGAGCTCGCTGCACTGCCAGTCTTACTACCAGTCGCTGTCAGCAGCTGCCGCTGCCCACCAGGGCGTGTGGGGGTCCCCGCTGCTGCCTGCGCCCCCTGCAGGCCTGGCGCCCGCCTCGGCAGCCCTGAACAGTAAAACCACGAGCATCGAAAACCTGCGGCTCCGGGCCAAGCAGCATGCTGCCTCCCTGGGACTCGATACGCTGCCCAACTGACTGTCTGGCCGCCAACCCAGCCTTGGGTGCCCCCCTCCCAGCCCCGTGATTATCCCCAGAGGGCTCTCAGGGAGTTGACTGTGGGAGCCCAGGGGTCCTGGGGCCCGGAGTCCTGCACCCTGACCCCCGTGCCCAGAAATTCAGCCCGAGGTGAGACCCACACACCCTCTGCATGGCCCTGCCTGGACCCCGTGGAGGCTGCCGGGGAGGAGATGAGAGGCTGGGGCGCCCCTGGCTTTCCTCCGGGAGCTCAAAGCTCTCCCTGGCTAGAACCCCCACCTCGGAACTGCCCCCTCACCCCTCCCTCCGTGCTCTCCCCTAGTAAGTGGATGTGTGGAATGTGAGATATAAATATAAATATATAAAGCTATATTTTCAGGCACCTGCCTGCCCCAGGCCCCCTCTCCCGCTCCGGCTCCCGGCTTCTCCACCACCACCTTGGCTGTGGCCGCGGCTCTGCAGCAGGCTCTGCCCTTCCCTCCCTCCTCCCTCCCTGTCTTGGTCTCCTCTCCTTCCTCCCCTCCTTCCCTTCTGCCTGCTAGTCCCTGCCCAGCCTGCAGCCTCCCCACCCTGATCTTTCTCCCACGTCTCTGCCCCCTGCCCTTGGTTTCTCCTTTGGTGTTGGCTGTGTTTGTGTCTCCAGCCCCCAAGCTCCGTTTTGATGGGGGTTGTGGCTTTTTTGGTTGAGGTAACTGCTTCTTCCTGCCCTCCCCCGGCCTCTGCTTCTTCCTTACCTGTCTCCTCCCCGACCATCACCCTCTCTGGGTTTGGTCCCTGTGGAAGTGAGGGCTCTGTGCAGTGGTCATTGGCACAGAAAGGTGTGCTTCTGTGTATGGCCAGGAAACCCAGCTCAGTAACCTCCCTTTCAAAGCTGTGTGACCCTGGGCAAGCCTGTAGCCTCTCTGGGCCAATTTCTCCCTTTGAATGAAATGCCCTGTAAGGTCCAGCCCAGCGCTAACATCCTGCATTTGTGCTTGCAACCTTGCCAGACAGAAGTTTTTAGTTAAACTAACAAACAAGGTTCTCAGTGAGGATTGTACACAGAAGACTTGCCATGGGTGCTGCCTCAGTTTCCCAGTAAGTGCAATGGGTCCCTTCCAGTTCAGACAATCTGGATTTGATCCTGCTTTTCTTGAATTCCAGTGCCAGCCCATGGGGTCACCCCATTTCCATACCTTTGTGTGGCCTCAGAGACTTTGGGCACAGGGAAGGGAGTGGCTTGGGCAGACTCCTGGTCATGATGCTCACCACCGAGCCCCTCGCTCCTGCTTAGAGAAGCTGAACTGAAAACCAGGATGAAGATTCCCACGCAGGCCCACCTCCCAGCAGGTGCCCAGGTAGCCTGGCTTGTAGAGCAGTCAATGCCCATCGCCCCGGGGCATCAGGTTGAGGCTGGGGCAGGCGGAGAAGGCTCTGGACAAGGAACAAGGGAGGGAGATGGTGGCCTCAGCCAAGAAAACCATTACACAAAGCACTAACGTCAGACAGGGGAAGCTGGCTTCCAGGGGGCCAGAATGCAGGCGCAAGAGCTCACCGCTAGGGGGCGAGCACCAAGGTTTCTGAACAGAAGGTGTCTGGCTGGGATCTGCAGTTAGGAAGGGATGTCCAGCATCAGAGGAGAGACACAGGGGTGGGAGGTTGGCAAAGACTCCAGAGAGACAGAAGCGGCTTGGGGCTGGGGCCCACGGCCCATCAACTGTCCTTTGGGGTCAGCTCTGCAAGCTCTGTTTCTAAAATGGAAAAGTCTCCTCTGGACTACGCAATGCGGCTGAGCATTTGCCTGTCCCTGGGTGCGAGTGACTCACTAGACCTTAAAATTCAACGGTCCTAGACATCATCACCTCCTCCAGGAAGTCTTCCTTGACCTCCTAAGTCCACCCTGGAGCCATGTTCTGGCACGGCAGGAGCCAGGCCTACCTGAGGCTCACCCAGCTGTCCCCGGATCTTTAACATTCCTCCTATTGGTTTCACTGCAATCCACAAGGCATGAGAAGGCAGGGAAGGTAAGAGTGGCTCCTGCCCCTGGACCGATCCCAGGCTAGCTCATGGCACCAGCCTCTGCTGCTGGAAGCACTAGAGAGCAAGGGGAGGGCACGCTTGTTGGTAGCACGGTGTGTGTCCTAGCAGGGTCTGGGGTCACAGGCTTGAGTGTGCCCCCACCCCCGCCACTGAAGCTGGAGCCCCTCCCTGCCTGCGGGCCACCCCAGGCTCCAGCTGTCCCTTCCTCCTGCCTCACCTCTCTCTCCAACTTGCAGCCTCCCTGCCTCTGCTTCCTCACCCCTCCCAGAGCATGGCTGGGGGCCTGGGCGCCCTCCTCCATTCCCGGGCTGGCGGGCTATACGGACTGCTTTCCAAGCCAGCTGTTTTGTGACCGTTTGTGCTTAGAGGTCGTGCCAGCCTGTGGTGGAACCACTGTGTGCTGTATTTATTTATTCTGTTAGTTGAAATAACCAGACTCGCGGTGCCCCCTCCTGCCCCGCCCCGGCGTGGTGCAGCATGACACGCCGTACGTGTATCTGTCCGTCCGTTGGTCTTACTTTCTGTGACGTCGTGACCTGTTCTCTGTCCTACTTGGCTAATAAAAAGGAACCCAGCAGCACAGCCCTCGGTCCGTGTTCATTCCCAGAGAGGCTGCAGCACGAGGCCTGTTCATTGCCTTCCGAGTGCCTGGCCAATGGCAGGGAGACAGGCCTGCCTGGTGGTTGGCCACACCCACTGGCCTTGCTGCTCTCTCCATCAGCAGTCTGGGGTGCCAGTGGGGACAGGGGGTGGCAGGGGAGGGCCCATCTTCTCTTGGCTGTTTGGACCCCACCCAGGCACAGGCAGCACAGCCCGGTGGCGCAGGGGACACGGCGGGGGGTGGGGGGAGTATTCCGGGTGTGGGGTAGGGGCTCTGCAGGATGGAGAGGGCAGGGGATGCTGTGAGGCACCACAGGTAAGCCAGGGCCAAAAGGGAGTGAGAGGGAGGGGAATACGGGGCCTGCCGGGAGGGAGCTCTGTCCTCGGAGGTGAGCAAGCAGACGAAGAAGGGATTTCTGTTCTGGTGGGACGGATGCGTGCGCACGTTGTCCTAAGTGTGTACGTGGCCGTGGGAACCTGGGAAACCGGTGCCATGGGTTCCTGCGTGGCTGCCGCCGGCCTTCGTGTGAGTGAGTGCATACACACGGGCATGCCGGCGAGACCGGGGGACTGAGCGGATAGGCAGGCAGTGACTGCAGGAAAATGCGCCATTCAGAAGTTCTTGCTGTGAAATCTGGAAGAAGGGCGGATCCCCGCTGCTCAACCGTCTCAACCCTCGCTGCCCAGGCTCCGCCCTCCCTCCCCGGAGTTCTAGTCTGCAGAGGCTTGGGGAGCGCTGAGGGTCCCCTCAGCCCGAGCACCCCAGCAGGCCCGAGGAGTGAGCACTGAGAAGCGTGCTGGGAGCTGCCTGCCAGGCTTCCCAGGGCAGCCCCAGACCCCGGGAGACGCATTCCTCACTCCAGGGAGGTGGGGGCTGAGGATTAGGGTGGGGAGCAACCCCCTTCACCTCGCATCCCCGCCTCCTTGGGAGGGGCCGAGAGATCAAATGTCTGCCCCGACCTCCGAGGCTCCCAGCCCGCCCAGAGCCACCCTAGGATTCCCAGCGCTCCCTGAGTGCCTTCTTTTTTTCTTTTTTTAAAGATTTATTTATTTATTTGAAAGTTAGAGTTACACAGAGAGAGGAGAGGCAAAGACAGAGACAGAGGTCTTCCATCCGCTGATTCACTCACTCCCCAGTTGGCCAGTCTGAAGCCAGGAGCCAGGAGCTTCTTCCCGGCCTCCCACATGGGTGCAGGGGCCCAAGGACTTGGGCCATCTTCTACTGCTTTCCCAGGCCATAGCAAAGAGCTGGATCGGAAGAGGAGCAGCTGGGACTAGAATCGGCGCCCATATGGGATGCTGGCGCTTCAGGCCAGGGCGTTAACCCACTTCGCCATAGCGCCGGCCCCCAACCTGAGTGCCTTCTTTGATTTTCAGCCCCGAGTTACTTGGAGGGCAACTTGGAAAGTCAAGTCCCTCATTCATTCAGCACAGACTGAGCACCTGCTGTATGCCTAGCCCTTGCTGGTGCTGGAAACACAGAAGCAAGCAAGGAAAGCGTGGCCCCTGTTCTCAGCTGTGACATAGGATGACTTGGGTTCACAACAGAAAGTGGTGGGAGCCAGAACAGAGGTCTTAGCTCAATCTGGGGGAGGGGTCAGAAAGGCACTGAGGGAGGAGGCTTTTGACCTGAGTGCCCTTGGTCCAGGGCTCACCAGGGCAGGCGAGTGGAAGGGCGCCCTGGGAGAGGCACAGCTCACGGGAAGCTGCAGTGCTGAGCTGGCTTGGGGGGGGGGGAGTGGGGTCTAACTGTATGCATGGAGGTGTAGGCGGGTTATCAGCAGATGAGATGGACCCAGGCTTGAACTCAAACCCAGGGGCCAGGGCTGTGGGGGCTTGGAAGCCACTCCCAGCAGGAGAGTCAGGTGGTCAGATTTGTCTTTGAGTGACACCCACTGGCCGCCCCAAGCACACACCCCTTCGCTGGGTGGTGGTTCCTGAGAAGAGCTGGAGGCAGGGAGACCAGCGGGGAGGCTGCTGTCCTGCCCCATGGAGACCACGGTGGCAGTGGCTTCGATCTGGACTGGGGGGAAGGGAGAGGGGAGAAGGGGTGGGAGGGATCGAAGAGAGATTCAGGAGGTAAAATCACCATGGCGACCGCAGGATGGCAGGGGGCAAAAGTGGAGTCTCTGGGTTGGCACCAGGGAGGATGGGGAGAGCGGGGGGGTGGGGTGGGGGGCTTATCCGCTGCATCCGAGGGGCCGCCCTGTTTCAGGGGAGAGGTTGGGCGGTCTCTGCTGCTGACAGACACATTGCCCTTTCCCTACAACGAGGAGCCACTTACTCCTCAACAAGTCTGGGGGGCAGGTGTTATTGTTTTCCACAATTTACGGATGAGGAAACTGGGGCACAGAGTAGGCAAATGACTTGTCCAGGACCACACAGCTAGCAATGAGCCAGCCAAGGAGTGAGCCTGGCCCACTGGGACCCCCAGCCTTCACTGTGGTGCTCGGTGCAGAGGAGAGCTGCGACATGGGGCACGGGGAGGGGTCTGCCGATGCCCCTCCCTTTTTTCTTCTGCTGGATGGGATTCGTCAACTCTCGCAGCCTGCCTATCGCTTAGAGGCCCAGATGGGGTGGAGAGAAGCAGCCTGGAGGGAGGCCCAGAAACGGAGTGGTTGAGAGCCCGGGGTGCAGTCAGTGCCCATGAAGGACAGGACGGGGAAGGTGGGGCTCCCTGAACCCCCTCCCCAATCCCCCTTTTCTTCAGCCTTGGTCTCAGTGTTCTTGCAGCTCAGGGCCCTGGTTGGTAATGGGCCCTTGCGGAGGGCACCTGCTGAGAGGGTGGGGGGGCTAGACCTCTCTCAAGGCTGGGCCCCTATCTCTTTCCCACTGAACTGCCCCCCGGCCTGAGCCCCTACCCACCAGTCTCTCCTTTTGCTTCTGAGAAAGCCGATTAGGAGGCGGCCTCCTGCCCGCCCCCTGACAAGTTTGTCTGAACTCCCAACAAAGGCTCTCAGAGGGCTGCAGAGGGAGGGCTCTGCCGGGAACCTGACACCGCTGGCCCAGGGTCACCCCAGCAGCCCAGGAGGCCTCTGTGGCTCTCACCCTACAGTGAGCAGAAATGTGCCTCTGACAGGGGACCTGGGTCAATTTGGGGACCTCTTTACCTGAGAGTCTCTGACACCAGGAGGGCTGGTGGGGATATGCACACATATGCAGGTACACACACATGGCCACAGTCACACACACACATGCACTCACACCCACACACACTCACATGCTAGAACACATGCAAGTGCTCACATGTGCACATGCACTCACACACATGGCCATGGTCATAAGACACATACACACACACACTCACAGGCACTCGCATGGCCACAGTCATCAGACACAAACATACTCTTCTCTCCTACACAGGGGACTTGCTGGCTTCTGCCTGGGACCACACACTGTCTCCCTGTCCCTCCACCAAGGCACACGCACCCTCACAAACCACCACACATTGGGTCTGGGTCTGTCCCCAGATGCTCCGTACCCCGCCCCACCCCGGCCATGCTTTCCTTCCTGCCTGCTCCTGCTCTGGGCAGCCCGCCCAAGGCTGAGCGTGGCATCAACTCCATCTCAGTCAGACAGCTCTCCAGAGCCACACTGCCTCAAATGCCCACAGCAGAGTCCAGTGCCCGTCCTGCTGCCAGACGCCCGCCTCCACGGACTTGTGCGTCCCTTCCGAGGGGCGCCTGAAGCTCGCCTCCTCGCAGCCTCCTCCCTGCCAGGGCACCTTCTTGGGCCTGTGGCCTGTGTGTCCCGTAATGCTCTGATGGTGCCGTCTTGAGATCCTTAATTGTTTAACAAGGGGTCCTGCATTTCCACTTCTTTTAAAAAAGATTTTATTTATCTGTTTGAGAGGTAGAGTTACAGAGAGATGGAGAGACAGAGAGAGGTCTTCCATTCCTGGTTCACTCCCTAAATGGCCACATGGCTGGAGCTTCTTCCGGGTATCCCACACGGGTGCAGGAGCCTGAGGACTTGGGCCATCTTCCACTGCTTTCCCAGGCCATAGCAGAGAGCTGGATCAGAAGAGGAGCAGCCGGGACTCGAACCGGTGCCCACATGGGATGCCGGCTCCGCAGGGGGAGGCTTAGCCCACTACACCACAGTGCCAGCCCCTGCACTTCCACTTTGAACCGGACCCCTCAAATTCCATAGCCGGTCGTACTCCCTCATCAGTCTCCCTGGGCTGACTCACCAGCCCTCCATGACTTGCGAAATCTGGGGTCTCCAGAAAGCCCTCGGTTCTCCTTCCTCTGCCTCTTCCTCCTCCTCCAGCTGAGGCCCCCCTGCAGCCTGCTCTGCACAGCTGAGTGAGATGGGTAGGAGCACAACAGAGGCGCACTGTCTTTTTTTTTTTTTTTTTAATTTGATTATTTGAAAGGCAGAGTTATAGAGAGGCAGAGGCAGAGAGGCAGAGGGAGAGAGAATCTTCCATCTGCTGGTTCACTTCCCAGTTGGCTGCAATGGCCAGAGCTTCGCCAATCTGAAGCCAGGAGCCAGAAGCTTCTTCCTGGGCTCCCACATGGGTGCAGGGGCCCAAGGACTTCGGCCATCTTCCACTGCTTTCCCAGGCCATAGCAGAGAGCTGGATTGGAAGTGAAGCAGCCGGGACTCGAACTGGCACCCAAATGGGATGCCAGCACTGCAGGTGGCGGCTTTACCCACTATACCACAGTGCCAGCCCCACGCATTATCTTCTACACACCTCCCCCTGGCTGTCCTCATCTGCACAGCGGGCCGTTGAAATGCCTCCGTTAGGATTCTTCGGGAGCACAGTTGGAAAGCACCAAACACAGAGCTTGGCATTTGGGCAGGTGGTTGGCCTAGCGCTTAAGAAACCAATCAGGATGCCCACTTGTGACACTGGAGTGCCGGGGTTCAAGCCCCGGCTCTGGCCCCTCACTCTGCTATGGCCTGGGGAAGCAGTAGAAGATGGCTCAGGTGGTTGGGTCCCTGCCACCCATGTTGGAGAC